GCAGACTAGCATGGGCCTCCAACAAACTTCTATCATTGGAACTATTGTGGGAAGGGTTTGTAAATCAGGAGAAAAATTGCTTCCACTCTTCTCCCTTGGCCAGAAAGCAACAATCCTACCAAAACCGTTATCACACTTCTCACAAAGTAATCTCCCCTTTCGATACGTGTCCTTTATCTCTTATTCTGTTCCAATTTTGAAAACCAGACCCCACACACATATTATATACAAACATGCAATGAATGCGTAAGGCAATTCCTAGCCAATAAAATAAACAATTATGGGATTCTATCTTTCTCTTATCAAAATTACTCAAATACATCCACATATATAAGAACAACTGTATGAAGTAGTGAACAAGTCAACAAATATTTCTTGAACCACTTCTATATCTACAGTCTCACTCCCTGGACTGGAACCTAGGTAAACAAGGGGACAATCCACGTCTTCACATTAAGCTTACAGACCTTTTCATGAGGGGTGGGTGGAGGCAGCATGCAGACAGGGACAACACATTCAACCAACTACTGCGTATTTGATAAATTTTATCTATTTTCTACATGTTGTAACAAGTGGGGGGAGGAGGCATTTTGCTTGAAGAATTAAGAACCCTTGGAAAGAGAAGGTGACATTTAAGGAAGACCCAGAAGCTGTGCACAAGTATCTTTGGGCTGGGACCCGGAGATGGATGCAGGATTATACTTAGCAGAAACCTGTACCACAGAGAGATGTCAGGATGTGTCAAGACCATGCCCAAGACGATGACACAGGACACAATCTAAGAAACAAGAGGCCAAGGTAGCCTGTGTCTTGAGCTATGAGGGAGAGTGACAGGGGCTGGGGGTTGAGGGAGTCACTCGGGATGCTATAACAAAAATAACATTTGCAGCTGGGACTGCAGCTCAGGTGATAGAAACCATGCTTAGAATGTGCAGGGCCCAAGCCGAGGCTCGGTGGCACACACCTGTAATCCTAGCAGCTCAGGAGGCTGAGGCAGGATGATCACAAGTTCAAAGCCACTCTCAGCAACAGTGAGGTGCTAAGCAACTCAGTGAGACCCTGTCTCTAAATAAAATACAAAACAAGGCTGGGGATGTGGTTCAATAGTAGAGTGCACCTGAGTTCAATCCCCAGTACCCTCCCCATCCAAAAAAAAAAAGAATGTTCAGGGACCTGAACCATGTCAAAAAAATGTTTTTACTTCTACCAAATATACAAAATGCTACTTGGTCCAAAGGTGAATTACCAAAAAAAAAAAAAAAAAAAAAGTTAAATTAAATATGGAAGAGAGGAATGGGAGTTAAGAAAATCACAGAATAACAAATTTAAGTACACAGCTGAGTCTAACTCTAGCTTAAGAGAGATCATGAAGGGGCTGGGGTTGTGGCTCAGTGGTAGAGTGGTAGGCCCTGGATTCGATCCTCAGCGACACATAAAAATGAATTAATTAAAGATATTGTATCCGGCTACAGCTAAAAAATAAATATAAAAAAAAAGAGATACCATGAATAAGGTCTACCAAACAAACAAAAGCCACTTAGTAATAGAAATATTTATAGGAATTACTGAAATAGCCATTAAAGTGAATCATTTTCTAAGCCTAAAAGGGATTTCTGTACCAATTATTCAATTAACGGAGTTTCAGAGCTAAGGACTGACACCTTTTCCTTATATAAGACAAAACTGGGAAAATTGAATTGCACAGAAATTCCATTTGAAATTCAAGTTAAGAGAACACATACTGAAAACATTTCAAGACAATACCTTCTAGTTATCTGACGGAGTTCATTCGATTTCTGTACAGTTTATCAGGCGGACCAAAATCCATCCCCACAGAGCACTAACTAAACTGCAATAACAAACTGACACGGCATGTGGTCAGACAAGCAGCACTGTCACCTATTAACTAGCAAATATCTTGCTACTAAGAGAAGCTCCTCCATTACACTTGCCATCTGAGAGATGAAGGGACTTACACAAGGTAATGGACAGATCAAAACACTTATTTTGGCAACAAATGCAGATTATTCTCTGAACCAGCATTTACTGATGCTCTGTAATAATGTTATTTAATTGATGATGGGCTCACTGCCAACATGCAAAATAACTGTCCTCCTATATTTGATGAAATGTAACTTTATTATGTCAAACCTACTTAAGCACCCAAGACACGTAAAGTTCCTTGAAAAATATTATCCCCAGAACCACACACACAAAAATAATAATAAAGAAAAAAAATTCTCAAATACAAATAGCACAGTTTCTTTAACTCTTTGCAGAAAGTTTCCGTCACTGCATCAACCACTGTAACTATAGCTAACATGCCAGCCACTAGTCATCAGCAGACACCTGGTCCAGTGTCTGGTGTGGTGTGAGCAAACGGCTGGTCTGGAGAAAAGCATCTGAGTGCAAGGCAAGTCAGAAGGCTGACCAAGAGCTACAAATGAGGAACTAAAAACTAGGTGACACCTTTAAAGGTGTAAATTCTGGTAAATTCTGTCATGTGTATTTTACCACAGTCAAAAATAAAAAGTCCCAAGAAAAAAATTTCTGAAAGTTTCAAGCTTGGGCAAATTTAACAGTATCCTTAGAGTAGCTTTTCAACAAACTGGAGGCATGCACAAAGAACAGTGCAAAATGTCATAGCAACTTGGCCTTTGTTCCTCCTTCCCATCCCACTCCATTCAGGATGGCCAGCCTATCACAGGAGACCCAGCTCTTAAGCATGAAACTACGGAAAGAGGAGAACAACAGCTGAATGAGAGTGGGGGAGGAAAGAAATGCCAGCTATATGGAGATCCAAGTCAAGGGTCACAATAGAAGTTGAGCAAAATATCTTTCCTTTTGTTTTTAATTACATTTGCAAAGTAATATCAAAATAGTTGTCAAATCATTTTCCAAGTCACAAACAGAACTCTAGGTTTTCAGGGCAGTCAAAATCAAAGCCCCAGAGAGACTAAGTAACAGTCTCAGGGTCTCTGATGTAGAACCATCCAGGTTATGCCATTGACTGGTTTTGCAAGAACCAAAAATAGTAACCGTTTCAATGCACTTTTTCCACAGCAATATCATCTTACACGTTTGCCAAATAACGTCTCATCATACCCCGCCAAAAAAGCACCAAAAGAGCCTGTTTCAGCTCAACAACTCTGCATTTACTCAGCTGAAGGGTTGAGGACACTGCTCAAATGGCCAGAGAAAACTCTTAGCAAATAAGAAGTCCCAAAGTCTGATTCTCCACGAAAATTTCTGTAATACCACTCGTTTTTGCAAGCGAATATAAAATGCCTGACTGGCGGAAACCGTGAAACATGAGCATGTTACAACTTAATTGTTAGGAAGAAAACAGTTTTGAAAGTATGGGGCCCTCCTCCAACAAGTCTAGCCTTCTTCCCAAGCCGGTACACACGGCTAACTTTCCAAAAACACAGCAGACACGGAAAGCCTCAGAGGGGCACCAGGTAGAGGGCAGGCCTCAAGAAAAAATCAAGACTCGCTACAAAACGACAGACTCAAGACTGAACGCACAATTCCTCAGTGAAAGGGGACTGGATCCATGTGGCAGGGCCAACCCTGCACAGACACACACAGTGCTACCGCCCTGCCAGGGGATGATGAAATGAGGAACGGAAATTAACATTTCAGGCAACGTCTCACATTGTTCCTTGAGGCCAAGGGCTGCTGCTGCTGCTGCTGCTGCTGCTGCTGCTGCTGCTGCTGCCGCAGCAGCCGCCGCCGCCGCCGCCGCCGCCTTCCTCCCACTCGGCCCCAGTCCCGCCTCCCCTCCCCCGAACACCCCCTGCCGCCCCGCATTCCTGCCCCCGCCCGGCCGCGCGCCTCCCGCACCCCGCCGCCCCCTCCGGCTCGGCGCGCAGCCCGAGGGCCGCCTGCTCCCATTTCAAAACACGATAATAATAGGGACGCTGGGAATAACAACCGCGGCCGGGGCCGGGGCGCCCCTCCCACGGGTCAGAGGTCGGCGCCCCGCGCCCGCGCTGGCACCCACAGCTTCCGCGCGACCCCGGGACCCCCAGGCCCGCCCCGGAGCCCACGCTCGCCCTTACGAGGTCCTCGGGACCCCCAAGAGCGCCTCGAGCCCATCCTCACCCGTATGAGGTCCTGGGGACCCCCGGGCGCGCCCCGGTGCCCACCCTGCCCCTCACGGCGACCCCGGAACCCCAGGCCCGCCCCGGAGACCACGCTCTCCCTGAAGAGGTCCACGAGACCCGCCGGCCCGCGGCGGAGCCCACCCTGGCCCTCAGAGCGGCCCCGGGACCCTCAGACCCGCCCGGAGCACACGCTCGCCCTCACAAGGCCTTCGGAACCACCAGGCCCGCCCGCAGCCCACCCTCGCCCTCACGGCCACCCCGAACAGGGACCCCAGGGCGCCCGAGGCCCAATCTCGGCCCTGCGGGGCCCCAGGCCCCCGGCCCGCCAGGGCTGTCCGCCGGAGGAGGAGGCCTGCAGGCCGCAAGGCCGCGGGAACGCCCGGAGTCCGCCCGACCACCGCCCCCAGGCTCGCGGCGCCTCTCACCCGGCTCCGACGGCGGCGCGGCTCGGCGGCGGCTCGGCGGCGGGGCGCGGGCGCGGCCCATGCAGCCCGCGGCCGCGATTCCCGGGCCGCGCGGCCCGGGCGGGAAGGCGGCGGCGGCGCGGGATCCGGCTGCAGTGAATGCGCGGCGGAGGGAAACGAGCGCGCCCTCGGCGCGCCCAGGCTCGCGCGGGGCCGCGGCGCTCGCGCGGGCGCTACTGCGGGGGCGTTTGGCCGCGGACTCGGCGGCGGCGCCTCCCCGGCTGGGGCCCTCGGTCCATCGCGCTCGGTATCGGGCGGCCTCTGGCTCCAGGACCCAGCGGCGGCTGCGGCGGGCGCCGGCCGCATGAGACGCTCCCGCCCATTGGCCCGCCGTATCCGCCACCGCCATTGGCCCGCCCCGCCGGACGGCAGGGGCTTCGCACGTCACGGCGTCGAGGCGGAAGTGCGCTGTTGGGGTGAAGGGGCGACTGCGACCTGACGGCTTCCGTGACAGGCCAGAGGCGGGACTAGGAGGACGTACCAGGAACGATTGGCCAAGGTCGTGAGCCCGGACAGCGGACAATCGGATTGGCTGGCTGCGTCGCAATGGGGCGGGTCCTCCGCTCTCGGGCACGACAATTGGCCATACGAAGTGCCGGAAGCAACGGGGTCGTGGTCTCGGAACCACACTGCTCGGCCCGCGGAGCCCGTCGCAGCGAGTCTGCCCAGCTCCAGAAAGGGGTGTCCCTGCTCCCGCCCGAGGCGTCGGGCGTCCGGCTGGCTAGCGGTCCCTGGTCGGCCGCGGCTTCGGAGAGCGCTCCCCGCGACGGCAGTCAGCCAAACGCGTCCCTCCTGCCGCGCGCGAGCGGCGCTCGTCGTGAGCGTGCCCTGGGGAAAGGCCGAGGGCCGCGGCCGCGAAGCCGGGAGGGTGCTGCCGAGGGCGTGCTGCCGAGGGCTCGCCCAGGCATTTGCGTTTGCAGAGGTGGAAGTTAGACGGTAATCTACGAAGTGGTGATTCGGAAGGCAGACTCCAGCTAGAATTAAAAGTAGCCAAGCCTCCTGTTTAAATGCACTTCTATACTTGTTAGGAACTAAGCCGAAAAGGTAGGTAACCGAAATCGAATCGGTGTCACTCTGATTTTCTCTCAAACGTAGGACTGAATCCAGGGGCGCTGTACCACCGAGCTACACCCCCCCCCCTTTTATATATTGATACAGGGCTTCGCTACTTTGCCCCGCTGGCCTCGAATTTCGAGATCCTCCCTGCCTCAGCCTCCCAAGTCGCTGGCACTTGAGGCCTGTTGCACCACGCCCTACTGCTGCTTTTTTTTTTTAACTGGGTTCTAAACAGTTGGTAAGCAGGGTATTTACAGGGTTCATATGGAATTATAAAACCAAACTGGATCGACCTTAAAGATGATCTTTTATGCAAGCCGAACTACTCCTGTTCCAATCCTAGCCCTGCGGTTGACAAACCCTGGGCAGTTTATCTTTCAGACCGTCACTTTCTCATGGGTAAAATGGGAACAGAAAGAGGCTGAGGTTGTGGCTCAGTGGGCAGAGCGCTTGCCTAGCATGTGTGAGGCACTGGGTTCAATCCTCAGCACCGCATGTAAATGAATACAATAAAGGTCCATTGACAACTAAAAAATATTTTTTAAAAATGGGAACAGCAAGTAGCACCTGTTGGCCAGTGTCATGAAGATTAGGCCTTGAGGATGCTAACCCCCAGGAAAGTGCCTGGGAGGCTTCCCTATGAAAGCACCCAGTCGGGGAGTAAAGGGCTTCAGACTCTTCGGAGGCAGCCAGGTCTTTATTTCAGTTACAGCCAGGAACTTCATGGGGTCAGAAGTGGACACCTGATAAAAACAGCCAGCCCTCAGGCTGAGGAGCATTCATGAAGAGATGATCCAAGAGTTCCCATATTGGCCTCATTGTAAGGCTTGCCTGGTAAAAATTGTGGAATTCAGGGTCCTGGGCCCCAGCTTCACTTACGGGATCAGCCTAGATGAAAGAGAACTAGAAGCTGCAATTTTTATTTTGTTCCCTGACAACACATTCATTCTTTGGATAAACTTGAAAAAAAAAAAAAAAAAAAAAACACTGATGTAATCCAATCAATATTCTTTCTAGGGTATTTAAATATGAAATGTGAATAAACTGGGAATTCGCCTCAGAAACTGAATCTGAAAATATGCAAACTGAAATTTTCCACAGAAAGAAGTAAAAACTGTGAAGAAATAAAATGCAAACTAAAAGGAAAGAATTAAGCTGTTTAATGCATTAATTAAAACAATGATGTGGACCATATCGAGCTTCTTCAAAGAGAAACAGAATAGGCATAATCTCTACCAGCATGTGATTGATTGGCATGGGAAGTGCATGTTTGGCAAATAAAATGAGTACAGCTGTGGTCTAAATGTTTTGTAACTCCAAAATCCATATGTTGAAGCATAATTGCAGGGTAATGAATTCAGGGCCTTTTGAGAGGTGATCAGGTCATGAGGGCAGAGCTCTCTCCAATGACTTTAGTGCCGTTAAAAATGAGTCCTGAGCCAGGCACATGGCCCAAGCCTATAATCCCAAGAGGTTGAGACAGGAGGATCATGAGTTCAAAGCCAGCCTCAACATTTTAGCAAAGCACTAAGTGACTCTGTGAGACCCTGTCTCTAAAAATACAAAAGAGAGCTGGGGATATGGCCCAGTGGTTGAGTGCCTCTGAGTTTAATCCCTGTTAACCACCACCCCAAAAAAAGAGTTCTGGGCCTGGGGTTTTTGGCCAGCGGTAGAGTGCTTGCCTACCATATGTGAGGCACTAGGTTCAATCCTCGGCACCATGTTAAAAAATAAATGAAAGGGCTGGGGTTATGGCTCAGCCGTAGAGGGCTCACCTCTGCGAGGCCCTGGGTTGCAAGACCCTGGGCTCGATCCTCAGCAGCACATAAAAATAAATAAAGGTATTGTGTCCAACTACAACTAAAAAGTGAATATTTTTAAAAAATAAACTAAAGGTATTGTGTCCATCTACAACTAAAAAAAATTTTAAAAATAAAAGTATTTTGTTCATCTACTAACTAAAAAAATATATATTTTTCTCTTTTAAAAATGAGTTCTGGATTGGGCTGTGGCTCAGTGGTAGAGTGCTTGCCTAGCATGTGTTAGGCACTGGGTTCAATTCTCAGCACCACATATAAAAAAAAATAAATAAAGGTACGTTGACAACTAAAAATATATATATTTAAAAAAATGAGTTCTATTAGTTATAGTGTCCCACCTCTGTAATTCCAGTGGCTCAGGAGGCTGAGGCTAAAGGATTGTGAGTTGAAAGCCAGTCTCAGCAATTTAGCAAGGCCTTAAACAACTTACACCCAGTTTCAAAATTGAAATATATGTGTGTGTGTGTGTGTGTGTGTGTATACATACATACATATATATGAAAAGGGCTGGGATGTGGCTCAATAGTTTCCCAGAAAAATAAAAGAGTCCTGAGCCAGGCATGGTGGCCCATGCCTATAATTCCAGTGGCTCTGGAGGATAAGGCAGGAGGATCATAAGTCCAAAGTCAGCCTCAGCAACTTAGTGAGACCCTAACTCAAAATTTGAAAAAAAGAAATGGAGATGTGACTCTGATTAAGCAACCCTGTGTTCAATTCCAGGTACCAAAAAAAAAAGGGCCTGGCCCAGTGGTACACACCTGTAATCTCAGTGACTTGGGAGACTGAGGCAGGAGGACCATGAATTCAAAGCCAGCCTCAGCAATTAGCGAAGCCCTAAGTAACTCAGACCCTGTCTTTACAAAAAAGAGCTGGGAATGTGGCTCAGTGGTTAAGTGCCCCTTCATGCAATCCTTGGTACCAAAGGGGGAAAAATAAGACTGAGATCAAAGAATAAAACACTGTAAAATATCTCAAGTAAATTTTAAAAATTTATTACATGTTGAAATAATATACTTCAAATGCATTACATTGAATAAAACATACTGTTTGGTTCCTTTTCCTTTTAGTCATGGCTACTAAGAAATTTTTTCCCCCATTTGGTATCAGGGATTGAACCCAAGGGCACTTAATCACTGGGCCACATCCCCAGCCCATTTTATTTTTTGAGACAGGGTTTCACTAAGTTGCTTAGAACCTTCCCACATTGCTGAGGCTGGCTTTGAACTTGCAATCCTCCTGTCTCAGCCTCCCAAGCTCCTGGGATTACAGGTGTGTGCCACTGTGCCTGGCTACTGTGAAAGCTTCAGTTTACACATGGTTCCCATTCTGTTCTGCTGGTCAGCCCAGGCAGAGGTCCTTTGGTGGGGAGAAGCACACTTTCTTTCAACAAAGTGCCTACTGTGTGCCTAACTCCATCCTACAAACTATTAATATAAGTGTAAAAGGACCAGGTACAGTGCCATAGAGCTGGGATCACAGGACTCAGGAAATTGAGGCTGGAGGATAGCAAGTTCCAGGCCAGTCTGGGACTTAACAAGGCCCTAAGCAACTTAGCAAGACCCTGTCTCAAAAAATAAAAGGGCTGGGGATGTGGTTCAGTGGTAAAGTGCCCCTGGGTTCAATCTCAAATACCAAAAAGCCAAGCATGGTTGTATATACCTGTAATCCCAGCAACTCAGGAGGCTGAAGCAGGAGGATCGAAAATTAAAGACTAGCTTCAGCAATTTAACAAGACCCTGTCTCAAAGTTGAAAAGGGTTGGGTGGCTGGGGATGTAGCTCAGTTTTAGGGTACTTGGCTAGCATGCACAAGACTCTAGATTCAATCCCCAGCATCAAAAAAAAGAGCGGGGGGTGCAAAAAGGACCCTGATACATGACCCATCCCTGTAATCCCAGCAACTCGAAAGGCTAAGTTCAGAGGATCACAAGTTTGAGGCCAGCCTGGGCAATTTAGTGAGACCCTCTCTCAAAAATAAAAGGGCTGGAAATGTAGTTCAGTGGTAGAGTGCCTCTGGGTTCAATCCTCAGAAACAGGAAAAAAAGAAAATGGGCTGCATTATAAACTCTAGTAAAGCACCCCTGGATTCAATCCCCAAACCAAAAAAATAAAAAATAAGATTTCTGCCTGTAAATCCAAAATGTCCTACAGCTACCTGTATGGGTAACACATGAATACAGGACACTGGGGAACAGCAACGAAAAATGCTGGCAGCCAGCCAAGCCAGGCAGACCCAGCACAGCCTGAGGAGCATGGGAATGATTTCTGGCCTGAATCAGAGGGTGCCAATGAAGGGTTTCACTCTGGCATGCATAGGGTCATATTTCCACTTTAAAACATCACCCCTGGGCTGGGGTTGTGGCTCAGTGGTAGAACGCTTGCCTAGCACAGGTGAGGCGCTGGGTTCCATCCTCAGCACCACATAAAAATAAATAAATAAAATAAAGGTAAAAGAAAAAAGATGAGGTCATTGCCTTTAAAAATAAATAAATAAATGGAACATCACCCCTGTTGGTCATAGTGGTACATGCCTGTAATCCCAGTTAGTCCAGAGGTTGAGGCCAGACTGGGCAATTTAGCAACACCCTGTCATCACAATGTGTCTGCTGTCAGTTGAGCCCAGGGCTGCTTAACCGCTGAATCACATCCCCCAGCCCTATTCAGTATTTTTTTTTTCTGTATTTTATTTAGAGACAGGGTCTCACTGAGTTACTTAGTGCCTCTCTATTGCTGAGGCTGGCTTTGAACTCACGATCCCCCTGCCTCAGCCTCCCGAGTCCCTGGAAATTATAGGTGTGCACCACCACACCAAACTCACAACAATTTTTAGAAATTAAAACAGCTGGCAACGTAGCTCAGTGGTAGAGCACCCCAGGTTCAATTCAGTACTACAAATGATAATAAGTAAAATTAAATAGAACATGGCCTGTGAAACCCTGTGAGGGTGAGAGGCTTCAAGGAGGCCCCAGAGAAGCTGCTCCAGGATTTTGCAGGTGAAGAGACTAGGGAGAGAGAGACTGGAAGGTGGCAAAGATGTAGAGAAGGTTCAGGTGGTGGACAACAGCCGAGCAGGGAGGCAGAGGAATTTGAACATCCTTCATCTTGCCAGGAACCGGCATGGCCACATATTCCAGCTTTTCCTTAGAAACTGGAAATGATATTGTCACAGCATACTTCATTAAGGGAAATTAATATTTTATTTTAAACACTGTAGATCAGACAGAACACATCAGGCCCATACACTCCATCTGAGTGCCTGCAGGGTGGTCCTCCAGTAAGTACAATCTGTACCATCTGGACACTCTTTATTTTATTTATTTATTTATTTTCTGGGCATTGAACCCAGGGGCATTCTACCACTGAGCCACATCCCCAGCCACAGTCCTTTCTATTTTGAGATAGCATCTCACTAAGTTGCCCAGACTGGCATAGAACTAGCGGATCCTCCTGCCTCAGCCTCCTGAGTCACTGGGATTATACATGTGCTCCACCACACCCACATGGACTATTGTTTTCTCAAATGTGTTTCCCAGGCCCTGCTCCAGAGATTTGATCTCCATATTGGAGGGGGGATCCAGAGACCTGCAAGTCATCATTCATCTCCAGAGCCTCCCAGCCTCCTCAGAAAGACCTGCTCCTGACAGTTGCTATCTTAGCACACCTCTGGTACTGTTTTGCAGGTGTTTATTTAAGCTGCTCGTCCCATGTTGAGCCTTGGATTCATTCTGCTTTTTGCCAGGCACTGGCCTTAGGGCTGTGGAGTTAGCCATGAACATAACTAAGTCCCTACCAGAGGCACTTACATTCCAGTGTGTCTCTGGTTCCTGAAACCAAAATAAGCTAATTGTTCATTAAACGTGAGCCACATGTAGCTGCAAAGAACAGATGTGGTGGACACTAGAGTTAAGATGTCCAGGGCAGGTGATACTTAGCTTCAAGTGAGGACAGACCATGTGTTCTAGGGAAGAGAACGTGCAGATCTCATTTTGCCCCTAAGCAGAGGCACTCAGAGGCTCCATCACAGTCCCGTCAGGCCCCACTGTGGCCCCAAACATACTGCCTCAGAACATGAGAGGTCATTGCATGGGCAGCCTCCTCTGCCCTTCCTGGCAGTGACCAGAGGTCACTGATGAAAGCCCAGCCACACCAGGCTTGCTTTAACTTCCTCTTCCACATAAGTGGCCAGAGCAGGCCATATTCTGGCACCTTTCCTCCCGTCTCCTCCCCTGTGGCCTTGTGGTAGGAGCTGATAATTGGGTTTGGGCCAGACAGGCCTGGCCTCCACCCTGTGGTCAGCCCTAGCTCACCAGCATTCTTGGCATTGGAGTCAGGAACCCAAGCTCATTTCACAATCAGTGATGACTGGCTTTGTTCCCCAGTTCCCACAGCACAGTGGCACATCACCCTCCCAGGCACAAGGGCAGAGAAGCTGTGAGGTGAAGCAAGATGGAGTCCTGGGCCCTGACCCCAGTACCACCAAACAACCAGGGTAGAAAAGCAGTGGCCCTGCCCATCACCCCAGCCACTCAGAGGCTGAGGTCAGAGGGGCACAGGTTCCAGGCCAGCCTGGGCAATTTACTGAGGCCCTGTCCCAAAATAAAAATAGCTGTGTGTACCTCCGTTGTAAAGCTCCCCTGGGTTCATTCTCCAGTACCTGGAAGGGGGGAAAAAAAGACTCTGCTTCAGTTCTTAGGACTATATACCCAGAAGTGGGCTTGCTGACCTTGTGGTGATTCTACCTTAACGTGGAGGACTTCCCTGCTGCTTTCCAGAGCAACTGCACGGTTCTCATTTTCAACCAGTGATGCAGGAGCTCCAGGTTCTCCACATTCTCACCACTGCTGATAATCTCTGGGAGGTTTTTTGGGATTTTTGGTGGGGGGAGGGGCCAAGGATTGACCTCAGGGTCACACTACCGCTAAGCCACAGGTCAGCCCCTATTTTGTATTTTATTTAGAGACAGGGTCTCACTGAGGTTGCTTAGCGCCTCAGTTTTGCTGAGGCTGGCTTTGAACTTGCCATCCTCCTGCCGCATCCTCCCAAGCCTTTGGGATTACAGATGTGTACTGCTGAACCCTGCAATCTCTGGGTTCTTAAAGCTTTTTTTTTTTTTTTTTTTTTTGGTGGGGGGGTGTGCATTATAATTTTTTTAAAAAAAGAATAGCTATCCTAATGAGGTGAAGTTTATACACTTGAACCCAGGGCAGTTCTACCTCTGAGCTACATGCCCGTTTTTATTTTGAGACAGGTCTTTCTAAGTTGCTGAGGCTGTCCTACAGCTTGAGAGACTGCTGCCCAGTGAGGTGGTACTGATCATGCTTCTGAAGCGCCTCCCCTGACGTCAGTGAGGGCGAGCCTCTTTCTGGTTGCTTCCTGACTGTGTGCATCTTCTCCATAAAAGTGCATATATTTCCTCCCATTCCAAGTTGCCTTTCTACTCTTTTAATAGTCTTTTGATGCACAAAAACTTAATTTTCATGAAGTCTAATGTTCTGCTTTGATGGTTGCCTGTATCTTTGGTATCATGACCAAACAGTCATTGCCAGATCCAGTGTCCAGAGTTCTGCAACACTCAGTCTCACACTTAGCTCTTCTAATTCATTTTGAGTTACCTTCTGAACATGGTGTAGGGTCCACTTTCCCCAAGGCCTTTGCTGAAGACACAGTCCTTTCCCTAGCATGTGGTCTGGCACCCTGGAGGGCCCCTTGACCAAAACACAAGGGTTTATTTTCAGCCTCTGTACAGTTTCTTTGGTCTGTCTCTCTCTCTTTATGCCAGTCCCATGCTCTGTTATGGCCATGGTTTAATAAGACCTAAAATCAGAAAGTGTGAGTCCTCCATCTTTGTTCTTTTTCAAGAATGTTTTGGCTATTTGGGATTCCTTGAAATTCATAAATTTTAGGATGGAATTTATTTCCCTCCCTGTCTTTCTGTCTCCCTCCCTCCATCCCTCCATCCTGCCATCTCTTCTTCTTTTCAATTCTGGGAATCAAACCCAGAGCTTTGCACATGCTAGACAAATTCTGTACCACTGAGCTGTATCACCAGTCCCAAGATGGGTTCTTCTATGTAAAATACATCATCAGGATTTTGAGAGGGGTTGCATTGAATCTGTAGATCACTTTGGGTAATACTGATATCTTAACCAATAGTATCTTAAGAAATGGAATTTTTTTGTGATTTCCTTTTAAGATGGCTTGTGTTTGTAATTGAAATGCACTGATTTTTGAGTGTTGACTTTATATCCTTCTATTCTGCTGAATTAATGTATAGGATTTTCTATATCATTTCATCACCTACATGATATTTCAGATATGCTAATCTGCCTCAGTATAGTAACCATTTTTCTATATACAATGTTGCATAATATCATCTTGGAAGCCTCAATTATATACAGGAAAATTGTTTAAAAATAAAGGTTAAAAAAATTTTTTTTGCAAGATGGACACCATATCTTCATTTTATTTCTATGTGGTGTTGAGGATTGAACCCAGCGCCCCGCGCATTGCCAGGTGAGCGTGCTACTGCTTGAGCCACATCCAGCCCAAAGGTAAAAATTTAAACTTAAAAAATTTCAAACTGTGAGAAACAGTAAGTTCAAGTGGTCCATTTTCTTCTTCTTCTTCTTCTTCTTTTTTTTTTTTTTTTTAACTCGAGGGGCACTCGACCACTGGGCCACATCTCCAGCCCTTTCTTGTATTTTATTTAGAGACAGGGTCTCATTGAGTTGTTTAGTACCTCGCCATTGCTGAGGCCGGCTTTGAGTTCTTGATCCTCCTGTCTCAGCCTCCTGAGTTGCTAGGATTACAGGCGTGCGCCACCACACCCAGCCAGTGGTCCATTTTCAAAATGCAGTAATCTCAGTGACTCGGGAGGCTGAGACAGGAGGATCACGAGTTCAAAGCCAGCCTCAGCAACAAGGAGGTGCTAAATAACTCTGTGAGACCCTGTCTCTAATAAAATGCAAAAATTGGGCTAGGGATGTAGCCCAGTGGTCCAGTGCCCCTGAGTTCAATCCCTGGTACCTGCCCCCTCCAAAATAAAACTTTATATATGGAAAACAATTTTTTTTTTTTTTTTTTAGTTGTGGTGCTGAGAACCCAGGGCTCACACATGCCAGGCAAGTGCTTTACCACTGAGCCACAACCCCAGCCCACTATTTAACTTCAAATGTAAAATTGCTGGGGAAGTAAAAAACAGTAAAGGGAAAATAAAACAAATGGTTACCAGCAGTTAACATCTTAGTGTGAAAGACTCACAGCCCCTTGACAAACAGGAGGTAAGAAAGAAGGGGACACCCAAGACCTTCCCTGCAGTCCCCAGTCCATAAGCCTTTTATATATATATATATATATTTTAGTTGTAAATGGACACAATACCTTTATTTTATTTTTATTTACTTTTATATGGTGCTGAGGATCGAACCCAGGGCCTCACACATTCCAGTAAAGCGCTCCCCCCCTTTTTTTTTTTGGGGGGGGGCATGTACCAGGGACACTTACAGCCACTGAGCCACATTCCTAGCCCTATCTATTTATGTACTTACTTACTTATGAGACAGAGTCTCACTAAGTCGCTCAGGGCCTACTGAGTTTCTGAGGCCGACTTGGAACATCCTGCTGCCTCAGCTTCCTGAGTTCCCAGGATTACGTGCATATGCCACCACGCCCAGCCCCCCAGTCCTTTGTAAAGTTCCTTTTTGTTTGGTTTGGGGGTTTCTTTGTGAGGCATTTTAGAGTCTAAGTAAAAGGTGGACTGGGGATGTAGCTCTTCCCCAGCATATCTGAGGGATGTCTATTACCACACAGCAGAGTCTAGGTGGGCTGCAGGCTCATTGGTGCACTACCTCAGTGACATCATGGGAACAGATTTCCTGCCTCATCCTAAAGCCCTTGTCCAGGTAACTGTGGAGTCTGGCTTTTAGGGGTAGATGGCCTGCCAAAGTTGATCACAATGAGGTTACGGTGGTTGCTTTGTGCTCTGTGTTCTGAAAGTGTGTGGGCTGGGTGTGGTGGTACACTCCTATAATCCCGAGGCTGAGGGAGGAGGATCACAAGTACAAGGCCAGCCACAGCAAGTTAGTGAGGTCCTGTCTCAAAAATTAAAAAGCACCCCTGGGTTCAATCTCCAGTACCCCCCCCCACAAAAATCAGTGTGTTTGACCCCTTGCAGATCCCCCAAATGCTTATGAGGGTAAGTGTTATAGTTTGGATCTCAAGTGTCCCCAAAAGCTCCTGTGTTGGAGACTGGTCCCAGATGCAGTAAGCAGAGGTGGGGCCTTGGGGAGTGATGGGATCACAAGGACTCTGACCTCAGGACGCATAGCTTTATGGGCTGTGGGGGAGTAGTGGAAATGTTAGGAGGTAGAGCCCAGTTGGAGGAAAAAGGCCATTGCAGCAGGCCCCGGGAGGACATATCTTGCCCCCAGCAGCCACGTGCTACCACAAGCTGCCCATCATGATGGCCTGTCTCACCCCAGGCCCAAAGTGATGGGACCACTCAGCCATGGACTGAACCTCTGAAACCATGAACCAAAACAAATGTTTCCTCCTTTTATTTTTCTCACATATTTTGTCACAGTGACAGAAAGCTGACTCATAATACAGTCCACAAGTTCAAAGTCTTTCCATGATGATACTAAGAGGTGTCCTCCCTTCTTCCCTTTCCTAAGTGTCTGTGGGCCTCTCCAGCAGCGGTACTGTGATGAGACCCCACTGGGACCCCTGAGGAATGTGTGCTGTGTTAACATACCTGCTTCGTTGTCACTGGGATAAATGTCCATAGGTACAACCCACAAGACAAACCAGGGGTATTTAAGAACCTGAAGAGGTTCTGAAACCAATAAGCTGTGAGCTGCTGGCTTGGCCTTGCTATGTGCTGGGGAATGGCCCCCGAGACACCACACAGCTCTACACTTTGTCTCATGCAGCAACACAGAATTGACAAAGGAAACCAAGCTCCAATCCAGGGTCAATACCCAACAAATACGGGACTGGGGCTACGGCTCAGTGGTGCTCACCTAGTATGTGTGAGGCACTGGGTTTGTTTGATCTTCAGCACCACATAAAAATAAATAAAGGTGTTGTGTCCATCTAAAACTGAAAAAAAAAAAATTAAAGACCCAACATTAATTATGCATAATCTGTGTTTAATACTTTTTTATTATTTTGTACTGGGGATTGAATCTAGGGGTGCTCTACCACTGAGCTACATTCCTGGCCCTTTTTTTTTTTTTTTTTTTTTATTCTGAGGATTTCTCTAAATTGCTCAGGCCTGCCTCTAGCTTGCTATCCTCCTTCCTCAGCTTCCCCAAGTCCCTGGGATTAAAGGCAACACCCAGCTCCGAGTTTTACTTTGTAACTTTTAAAGGTATTTGGGAAATAAAAGGATAGATTTCACCACTGGGCCTTGCCTGCATCTTAGCTTTACACAACTGTACAGTCAATTCCAAGCAGTTTCCACTCAGGAAAAGCCCTAGCCTCAGGGGACAGCTGTGTTCCCTTTGCCCAGATGGCCCTAGACAAGTGCTTCAGCATGTGGACATCCTCTGTGGGACTTGTTACATTTTGTCTGTTCTGTTTATGAACTGTAACCTCATATAGGATTGCCTTAGAATCCAAGTAACAAATCCTCATGCTAAATAGAACAACAAGGGTGTTGGGGATGCAGCTCAGTGATAGACTCATTCCCCACCCAGCTCTGCACAGAACAAAAACAGCAAGAACAAACTGCATGCTTTGTGTGAGGCACACCTAAAGCCACCTACAAATCTCATCTTGACCTGACCAGCTCTGCCGCTCCTTCCAGCTGGAGCTGGCCCTGAATTCCAGAAACCAGGACACAGGCTCCTGGCAGGCAGGGAGATCCTAGCCAAGGGCCAACCTGCCAGGGGTTGGCTCGTCCATAGAACAAGGGGGTCTGGAGTAGACCATGGTCCAAATTCCTTCCGAAGTGACCACCTTAAGCAGGAAGCAGTGCCCAAGTCCACTATGCCTCTTTCCTCTTCAATACCTAGCCTGCTGGTCGCCACCCTGTCCACTGTCTCAGCCCAGCCTGCTTGCTCACCCTCACTGTACATGGCAGCTGACCCATTGGGCATACTCAGCTGACCTTGTTGCTTCCTGGGGTTGCAGATAAGAAAAATCAGCCGAGCAACAAAATAAACAGACTCTGGCCTTCCCAACCTCAGGAGAGCCATCTCCTCTTCTCTGCCCCACCTGGTTCAGGCAGAAGCTCCTTCATGCACCCCATAACAGGCCATGCTGGTCTCCCTGGTCCACCAAAAAGATGTATCTAAAACAGAACTTGTGGCTGGGTGTGTGCTGCTGGGATATTTGAAGCAGCTCAGGAGGCTGAGACAGGAAGATCACGAGTTCAAAGCCAGCCTCAGCAATGGTGAGGTGCTGAACAACTCAGTGAGACCCCGTCTCTAAATAAAATACAAAATAGGGCTGGGATGTTGTTCAGTGGTTGAGTGCCTCTGAGTTCAATCCCCGGTACCAAAACAAAAAAAATAATAATAAAACAAAACAGACCTTGTAATCCCAGCTACTCAGGAGGCTGAGGCAGAAGGATTCCAAGTTTGAGGCCAGCCTCAGCAACTTATGGATACCCTATCTCAAAAAATAAATAAAATTTACAAAAAAACTGGGCTGGCGACATAGCTCAGTGGTTAAGTGCCCGAGGGTTCAATCCTTGGTGCCAAAACATACACACACACACACACACACACACACACACACACACACACACGGCATTTGAGGGGGGCCAGCAGTCTTTAGGGATATGGTGTTGGAAATTTCCAATGAACAGGGGACAAGTGTGGGAATGGCAGCGATGCGACTCCCTGGTCTCAAGCTCCTTTCTGGAGGGTAGTAGCTGTCCAAAATTCAGTGGCTTCTTGATTTGTTGAAAACCAATAATGGTCACAGACCATGAGGGTCCAGGAAAAGTCAGCCAGTGACAATCTGTGACCTTGATCAAAGGCCTAAATCTACAGTCCCCCTACTGTTCAGGAAAAGGACAAACTCTGTTCCCAGGTATGAGAAGCTGACTGCTGACCCTGAGCTAGATAGTGAAGGCATGGTCAGTCTGGCCTCAGGCTGCACCCCAGACAGAAGCCACAGAGGGTCCCCTTCAACTAAATACAGCCCTTTCTTGCTTCAAATATCTTTATCATGTAATGTTTTGAACAACTAATAGTAATAAAAATTAAAAAAAAAAATATATATATATATATATATATATATCTTTATCACTCCCCTCTCAGGTGCTTCTGGGACCAGAACAGTAGCAAGCCAAATACTTTGAAAACACAGCTGTCCATCAGACACCCTGAGCAGATCCCTTTTTGCCAGTAGATGACCTCCTGGGGTGTTGGAGAACCCCTAGGCATCTGGCCAGTGGTGAATAGACTTGCACAGGCAGATTCCAGTGTGGACAAACC